TGCCTGCTTTGCGCCGACCCAGCTGGCCTTCACGCTGGACACGTCTGGTCATGATATATACATATATATATATATATATATATATATATATATATATATATATATGTGTGTGTGTGTGTGTGTGTGTGTGTGTGTGTGTGTGTGTGTGTGTGTGTGTGTGTGTGTATGTCATTTGTCTGATTCTATTCCTCTCGCCTACTACACACATACACAACAATGTGTATATGTGTATTTATAAATGTAAATATATATATGTATTTATAAATGTGTATATATATATGTATGTGTAAATGTATACATATGTATGTATAAATGTATGTATATGTATGTATAAATGTATATATATATATATATATACATATATATATATATATATATATATATATATATATATATATACATATATGTATAAATGTGTGTGTATATATATATATATATATATATATATATATATATATATATATATATATATATATTTATATGTATGTATGTATGTATAAATGTATAAATACATGTATATATGTATCTATATATGTATATATATGCACTGACACAAACGCACACACACACACATATGACTATATATATATTAATTATTTACATATACACAGTCAGTACATAACTGTGGAAAATATTATCCCCAATTTATTTACTTCATTTTTATTTATAGCCAAACTGAATATTTTTCGATCAGTCCTTATACGTATGTGTGTAAGTACTGTACACATCTATATGCATTTGCTACTTAAGAGTAAGGAACCCACTTAGAAGATTATTCCTATCACATATAATGATTATATTATTACCTTATCTATTTTACAATCATCTTAATGCCATTTCCATCAATATTAACACGATAATAATTATAATAATCATAATGATTAGCGAAGACACATCAACAGCACCTTCCATTAGAAAAGTCATTTCCGTGGACGCTTTGATTGACTGATCTTCTTTCTTCTTCAGCTCCAACTTAAAGACGATCGTGCCTCCGTAAAGGCTTTGGACGTCCACTTCAAACACCTGTGGATTACTGGAGGCTGTTGACGTGGACACAAGATTAACGACTTCGCCTTGGAGATTCTGAAAGCTGAGTTCAAACTGGTCATTGTTGTCGTCGGGTGTGACTCCATTGGTCGTTGCGCAGAAAATGTTTATTGATGCTTCGTCTGTTCTCTCCAGGCGATTGACCTCCAGGTCTGTGAGAACGAGGTGGGAATGGTGGAAGATTAGGGAATAGAGTTAAGGGAAAAGAGGGAGGAGTTGAATTGTTGTTGGGATTTTCTTTTTTCAGGAGCTGTGAGGATTAGTTGTGAGGAACAGAGTGGAAGGGAGGAGTTGGAAATGAATGCGAAGAAAAAATACTAATTTGCCAAAGCAGTGGATGATGGGGAGGAAAGAAAAAGAAGGAACGAAAGAGGAAAAAAAGGGAAAATGAGAAATGAGAAGGGAAGAATGAAATGGAAGACAGAAAGAAAAATGAAGCGAATTCCAACAAAATGAGAAATACAAAGGGTAGAAAAAAGACAGATAAAACAAATAAGAAGACTTTTAAAAATATGCAATTTTTAAAATTATAAAACGATCAATTCCCAAAAGATATAAAAGCAGATAGATTATGTATAAACAAAATTATCATGAATTTTACATGTATGTGTGTGTGTGTTTCTGTTTGCCTACCTGTCTGCCTCTCTATCTATATACCTACATCTCTATATTATTCATAACTCTGCACAAATAAACACACCAATAATATAAAATCACAACAAACATAAATAAGAAAACCTACCCTTCGCCTCCACTCGAAAGCTCAAAGCCAGAAGAACAGCCAAAGTTATAGGCCAGCGACGCTTCTTTCTCTCCCACGCCATCGCCGCGTTCCTCATCGCCCGAGACTGCGAGTAAAGGAGGGAGGTAGGGAAGGGGGGGGGTGGAGATGAGCAGGAGACGACGGAGGAAAGTGACAGTGATAACAGCAGAAAACTACTATAACAAAATAGTAATAATGATAATGATAAATGATGATAATGATACCATAGATAATAATAATGATGGTAACAACAACAACGATAATAATGTTGCTAATAATTATGATGAGAGTAATAATAATATTAATAGCAGCCACAATAATAAAGGTAATGATAATAGTAACAATAATGATAATAATAGTAATTAAGACAATGGTAATGTTAATAATTACTTGATAATCATACCAAAATTACTGAGTAATGATGACACTACAACTAATGATAGTAATAATATAATTAAATCAAGCTATAAACGTTAGGTATTACTGATATAACAATAGTAAAATGCTAATGACAAACCGATAGTCAATAACTCTACCTCACTCACAGCAGCAAATTTTCACAACTATATATATATATAAGGCGGGAAAGGCAGTCAACTGATCTTACGAATCAACACCTGTCTGTCTCCTTCGCCTTCTGATCTGACTCTGTTGGCTGCTGACTTGACGGCGAATGAGGCTGACAGGTGATTAAAACTGATATAGGTTCTGTATCTCTATAGTGTTAGCAACAGAGATACTTGTTTGGTGATTTTTTTCTTTATTTTTGAGGGGGTACGGGGGTGCATTTGTGTTTATATAAGGGAGTGAACGGTAAGTTATATTTAGATTAGTTTGTATATATTTTCTTATTTTTTTTAAGCTGATGTATCTTTCTGGTACACATATAAATTATTCTGGAAAGCTGATCCATTCAACAGCAGTTTCGTATGGCAAGACCACACACACACACACACACGAAAAAACGACATATCGGCTTGAGAAGTCAAACGCAGGTGTCGTAGGGGAAGTCACCGCCGTGATACAAATGTTAACACGCCGAACCGCGGTTGATTAGGAAGGGCATTCAATCAGGCAAGGGTGACACTGCCATATAACATCTCAATACTGAATTGAGAGAGGCCTATATCCTGCAGTGGAAATGAATGGCTGCTAAAAAAAAAAAAAAAAAAAAAAAAAGAGGAAAAAAAAAAAAAAAAAAAAAAAAAAAATATATATATATATATATATATATATTATATATATATATATATATATATATATATATATATTATATATATATATATATATATATTCGAGAAAGAGAGAGAGTGATTTTTTTCTTTCTTTTCTTCTTTCTCTTTCTTTCTTTTCTTAAACATCCATATTATCGTATTTTAATTCTTACTATTCGCCTGTCTGTTTATTCATCTTTTCGCCTGTACTCTACTTCATCGTAGACTTTATGATAGTCATGATGATTTACCTTAACCCCTTCTGCATACATAAATACCCTCTCTGTGTCTCCAGATAGTGAAAACCCATTACAAACCTTATCTCAGTCAACATACATGAATACCCTCCTCCTATCTATAATTAGTGATATCGTTTGGTGAATTTTGTTATTTATGTGATCCAAATTCTGTCTCTGGTTAACGATTATATCTATATTTTCTACCATGTATTGATATATCATTTCTGTTTATTGATTTAATGGTTTGTTTATTTTGCTGTTGACCATCGCATTCTTGGTACAACGATATTTTGGAGGAAAAAAGAAAAAAGTTACAATTTTTTTTTATTTATTTAGAAATTGGTGGCAAGACTTTTTTTTTATCCTCACTAGTTTCTTTTCTCATTTAAGATTTTTTTCGATAATTAGATTTGTCTCTTTCTTAATAAAATTTGTTTTCTAGCTTTCCTCTATCTTAATTTGTCAATACATCTACATAAATGATTTATGTGTTTATCCATTTAATCGTTAATTTATCTATTTATCTGTTCTGCTACAAAGGATTTTTCTTCTTGCTGTCGCCCTCTTCCTCTTCTCCCCCCCTCCCCCCCCCCCCCTCGATCCACCTATTCTGCGTAAAAGTACAATGGATGTAAGTATTTATCTTGCTATTACAGTGAATTCTGTTATCGGGAAATTCTGAGAAAGATTCTAAGTGTCGATTTTTTTTTCTGTCATCACTGTGCTACTTTAAAAATTCTTCCTTCCTTTCCTTCTTCCTTCTTCGCTTTTTAATAAAAATCTTGTTTGTCTGATGTGTTTTGTATTTTCCACATCCTGTTTATCATAATAATCCGGTTTTATGATATTCTGTACACGCATGTAGGTACAAATAAAACATTCGTGTCAATGATTATGCAAATGACACACTTAATTCTATACAAATATACAAATAATCATCAACCGATAAATAGTAATTTACATTTTATTATTACTATAGTACATTAGTACCTTCCTCAAACTTCCATTTCGAATTTTCCTTCTCAATTTTCCTTCATTTTTTCTGTCGCAGAACGATCTCTAATGATCATAGTAATCAGCCGTGTTATCAGTAATCATAAACACTTGATGATTCCCCAACAACCGCCCCCCCCCCCCCCTTTTAATAAAAATCTTGTTTGTCTGATGTGTTTTGTATTTTCCACATCCTGTTTATCATAATAATCCGGTTTTATGATATTCTGTACACGCATGTAGGTACAAATAAAACATTCGTGTCAATGCTTATGCAAATGACACACTTAATTCTATACAAATATACAAATAATCATCAACCGATAAATAGTAATTTACATTTTATTATTACTATAGTACATTAGTACTTCCTCAAACTTCCATTTCGAATTTTCCTTCTCAATTTTCCTTCATTTTTTCTGTCGCAGAACGATCTCTAATGATCATAGTAATCAGCCGTGTTATCAGTAATCATAAACACTTGATGATTCCCCAACAACCGCCCCCCCCCCCACTCCTTCTCCCCCCCCCCCCTCGATCCACCTATTCTGCGTAAAAGTACAATGGATGTAAGTATTTATCTTGCTATTACAGTGAATTCTGTTATCGGGAAATTCTGAGAAAGATTCTAAGTGTCGATTTTTTTTTCTGTCATCACTGTGCTACTTTAAAAATTCTTCCTTCCTTTCCTTCTTCCTTCTTCGCTTTTTAATAAAAATCTTGTTTGTCTGATGTGTTTTGTATTTTCCACATCCTGTTTATCATAATAATCCGGTTTTATGATATTCTGTACACGCATGTAGGTACAAATAAAACATTCGTGTCAATGATTATGCAAATGACACACTTAATTCTATACAAATATACAAATAATCATCAACCGATAAATAGTGATATTAGTGATTTACATTTTATTATTACTATAGTACATTAGTACCTCCTCAAACTTCCATTTCGAATTTTCCTTCTCAATTTTCCTTCATTTTTTCTGTCGCAGAACGATCTCTAATGATCATAGTAATCAGCCGTGTTATCAGTAATCATAAACACTTGATGATTCCCCAACAACCGCCCCCCCCCCCACTCCTTCTCCCCCCCCCTTCGTCAACAGTTCTTCAACACAGAGTCGTATCTTATCTCATTATTCTTGCTTCTCATTGGCAATGTTGAACGTGGCATTTTTCATATACACACGCACACGTTCAAGCCCATGCACATGCACCCGTATACATATATGTACACGCACACGTATACACAAACGTAGACACGCGCACACACACACAAACACACACACACACACACACACACACACACAAGCACATACACATGTATACACACACGCACTTACACGAGACTTACTCTCTCTCTCTCTCTCTCTCTCTCTCTCTCTCTCTCTCTCTCTCTCTTTCTCTTTCTCTCTCTCTCTCTCTCTCTCTCTCTCTCTCTCTCTCTCTCTCTCTCTCTCCCTCTCTCTCTCTCTCTCTCTCTCTCTCTCTCTCTCTCTCTCTCTCTCTCTCTCTCTCTCTCTCTCTCTCTCTCTCTCTCTCTCTTTCATCTCCTTATCTCCTTATCTCCTTATCTCTTGCATGTGGCATGGTGGAAAGTTTGCTCCTTGTATGAATGTTACTCGATCCACATGATTTATAAAATACGACAAAGAAAATGGCAAAACAATAGCAACAACAATAATAAAAACTTTCAAAAACAATTTAAACTTCATGTCAAAGGGATCAAGTAAACGGTATTTCTTTCCTGCATTTGTTGAAATGTTATGATGAATTCGTTCGTTTATCTATTTTGTTGCTCAGACATTAATAGATATACATACAATGTGATATAAAGATAGACAGAAAGAGATCGTTTAGCAGAGAAACGGAAGAAGAATGACAAGAAGGAAAAAAAAACAAAAACAAAAAGAAAAAAACATACGAAACGAAAGGAAATGCGAAGGTTGGGGAAAGGCAACGTTTTAAGATTGAGAGAGAGAAAAAAAACGTTTTTTCTGTCTTTGTCTGGCTTCCCCGATCTACTCTCTCTCTCTCTCTCTCTCTCTCTCTCTCTCTCTCTCTCTCTCTCTCTCTCTCTCTCTCTCTCTCTCTCTCTCTCTCTCTCTTCTTTTCTCTTTTTTAATCAGATTTATCCTCATTCCTCGAGCTATGCATTCGAAGATGATATACTTGCCACAAAGGGGCTTGGAGCCAATAGACAAATAAATAAATAGATAAATAGATAAATAAATAAATTATAGAAAATAACTAAATATTTAACATGAATGAAATAAGTAACAATAATTAGCCCGAATGTGACCTATTTGCTTGGATTCTTAAGGTGCTTTGAGTACGTGACGAGATAAAACCTCTCAACAAGATATCAATCGGCGCCTGGTCTTTAAGGGCTGCCTGGTGTCTTTCTGGGATGGAATTACCAATGCTCAAGATATTTCGAGTTATGTGTATTTTTGAGATAAATCTTTTCCCCCCGTGGATATTACTAACACCCATCCTCCCCTTCCTCCCTGAAACTCGTGAATTCTTAAAAAATAAAGTTTTCTGTTGTTATCGATAGGTACGTTGAGATTTTTTTCTTTCATTCAGTTTATGAATTTCTCCGTAAAATGAAAATGAGTTTTGATCTTTCAAAAAAATGTCTCTACGTCGATGAATTATTATCATTGTTATAGTTTTTTTTACGATATTCATATATATGTTTCATTCATATTTGGAAAACATTTGATACATTCTTGGATCTTTTTTGTTATAAAACCTGAAATATTTAGTTTATACTGATTATATCCCCCTGTTATATCTATATATAATTATATGCTTGTTATAGCGATGCTATTTCCAATCTGGTTTATTAATATTACTTTCAGTAGTAATGATTTTGCTGCATTCACAGTGCGTTGCTGTGGCGTAAATATGTGTGTGTGTGTGTGTGTGTGTGTGTGTGTGTGTGTGTGTGTGTATATATGTATGTACATTATTCTACCTTCTTCACTGAATTTCTTCTGTTCTACGAAAATACATTTCTTTGGGTTATCTCAAGGATAATCCCAGGTTTAGTTTCTATAGATTAGATCAACACCGCCACATGGCGTCATATAATAAAAATAAATTATGGGTGACAAGGGTCGTTTTCTATAACGTACCACTGGAAATCAAATACAAAAATGTGTCTGTTCTATCCTCAAGTAAATTGGCGTCTTTTTCACTGGGCAGTAATAGGTTTTCAGCGTCCATAGGAA